TTCAACATCTACGTATTGGAAAGAAAGATCCAACTGTAATTAGGTTGAGAGAAACTATATTGCAAACAACAAGAAACTATGCTGGAAAAGGATTCATCATAATGCACACCAAAATAAAGAGATGCCATACACATAAAAGCGTCACAGCGCGTAGATGCGAAATTAATCTTTATAAGCAGAAATCAAGGAAAATTACAGAGAAAGGTATGTTCTAGCAAAGAAAATAAACACCATGAGAGCTGAAAAGACGAGACTATCATTAGTAGAAGAAAAACCGAAGAAATCTAAAATAGTTCCACAGCTTGTAAAAGAAGACTTTGGTGGACAAGGGAATTTACCTTCTAGCTCATGCATATCCTGAGAGGCAATGTGCTTCGTAAGTAAACCCTCAGCCATAAGTAACAGTCTCTCCCCACTCTTATCGCGTAGAACCTGTGAAAAATTTTCACAATTGTAAGCAATAGAATACAAAACTGCCCAAAATCAGGAGGGGAAACGGTGGCAGTACTTGTAGTTGGATGCTACAAACTCCCCAAAGAACCTTAATTTTCCTGCAAGTTTGTATATTTTCATGGCTGTCTGTTGAAAAGCAAGGCATAAGAAAAGGAATTACAGACTGATAGCAGAACAAAAAGTGTTCATTCAAAAGAAAGAGTGAATTGTTGCTGCTTGACAAAAGAGTATTCACGAACATACAACTGAAGAACCCTATCACAAGCTCCAAATAAGTACACCGTAACTAACTGAAAGCAAAGAACCTAGAAAAAGAGGCAGAGCTATGCACAAAACTTAGTCTATGCAACTTCCCTAATCGATTCATGTGTAAACAAGATGGGAAGAAGTTGAGTAATTCAAAATTTTCTAGCCAAAGAACTCAATACATGAAGTGTATGAAATGGTGAACACTGAACACCCAAAAAATCACTTAGGAGCGGACAATCGTTGATGTTTGTAACCGATTCACTCGTGTGTAATAACCAAGAACAAGAAACATTAATGTAAAGACACAAGTCTTTGTATTTGAATTTTATAGATTATTCAAACTAATCTTCACAAGAATGAAACCAAAGGTTAATGATTAGAAAAGAAATTTGGAGCAAATACTTGAGTTTGAGAGTGAAACCCACAAACGTAAGAAGGAAAATTATTTTTGTTAAACCTTATAAATAACAGTTTCCATCAACCTAGAATGCCCTCAAAGTTAAGAAACTAAGATCCAAATAGAAGTTTCACAAAATCAGAATCCCAATCCCCTTGAAGTAATTAATCTAGTCAGCAGAACTATTGTAGTTATTTATAGAGAATGTTTTCTTGTCCAACAATGAAACCTACCATAACGATTATATATACCTCGAAAGTGAATTTTTTGTTATAGACTTGTTGAACTAAGATCTATACGGAATGTCCTGGTATTAAAACAAAACGAAAGAGCAAAAATTTATAAACATAAAGCAGACTCACGCTGAGACAAACTCATGTAAGCTCAAACAATGACAAACACATCACACTTTACTGTAGATCATAATAAACTCAAATTTGGAATTGCTAAACATAGAAACCTGATAATTGAAAATATGACAGACGGCTGTACCTTGGGGGAAAATCGTAAGACGTGAATGAAACTGCACGATGTTTTAAAAGGACAATTTTTTGAAGTTTTCAAAGACTGACACACCGTTGATAGGAGAAAGGGAAATTGATGAGAGCCGGGCTGAATCTACTATTCCAGACTTCCGAAATCGGAAACAGGGATATACATTTTTTTAAGTTCTGTTATGAATCTTATGATGCACAAATGAACCCAAAGGAAATGGAAATCCATCAAACCATGAGGCGAGAGAAGGATTACAGAGTTTGACTACCCGTTCTAGTGATAATCACAATCGATGAGAGGCGACATGAGGAGACGGAAGAGGTTGACACAAGCCCTAGAACCATGCCTTGATAATAACATTCATAAAAGAAGTATCAAGGGAACAACAGCACAAGTGAAGCAAATTCACCGAGAATCAAATCAAAGATACTTTATGCATACCTTCTACCATAAACGGATGGTGCGGTCGCTGCTAGAGGTAAGCAACACATTGTCGTCTCTCTTAGAATCACTTTGAACAAAAGATGTTTCCGCAAGGGGACGACCTATAAAAAGAAGTGCCTTACAACTCCACTTAAGATATAAGCACTAACAAACATGTCTACTGAAACCAAAATTTAAAAAGTTTGTACTTTCGTTTCTACACCGGCTCTTCACCTCACCTCATGCAAGTGATTCTTGCTTTGTGATCATTAAGATTGACATAGGAGTAATCTCCACTCGCAAGATTACGAATCTGTGTTGACCGTATGGTAGACCCCTGCAAAAACAACAACAACACAGGGACAATAAGCATTTTTCCAGTGGCTCAACTATCTGAGAAAGGAAAAGATTGTCGCTATCAAGCAATATATGTTGAAATCCCTTATCAATTTCGTCGACATACAATTCAACAGTTAAAAGATCCTTGAATTTGAGTTAAAGATAGTCCACTTGCTTAGCCACCAATGCTTCTCGTACCCCAAACGATTCCAAGATAGCTTCGCTAGGCCAACGCTCTCTGCGAATATTTGTGCAAACTAAGAACATCTGTGTACGCAATAGACTTCAGTAACAATGAAGGTTTCATTGGCGAATTAGTTATTATAGGAGTAAAGATAGATTCCTGAGTAGCAGCGATCTGGATGAGAACGAAGAACGCGAAGTCGAAAGAGTTGGAAGCTGCTATTATATTTTTATAGGACGTGTCAAGTAATGAGGCCAGCCACGTTGAGAATCTCTTCCTGGAGTTCTCGAGGCCTTTTCTGAATAACAATTATAAGTTTCATGATTTCTTCTACATCAATTCCTCTATCGACCAACTCAATCTTAAACTTAGCTTTTGTGATACGTTGATGATTCCCATATGCCTTTCGTTCTTGTAAAATATGTGATGTATCCATGGCTAAGATTCTATCTGGTTGTCCGGTTCTCGAAATTTTGTATTACTGCGATGAACTGATGGTTCTTGATCTCAGCAAATCACTGCGTCTGACAACCTTACAAATAAACCGCAACGTTTGGGTTCCGGGGCCAACGCAGATTGTGGCACCACATATCCGTTGTCTCAGATTGACAAACTCTCAGTTACCATGTACTTTTGTTGATGTTGCTTCTTTAAGGGAAGCTAAACTGGACAATATTTGCTTTGTCTCAATGAACCCGGGCTTGGAGGCTGATATTCTTCAGGTCATGGTACTAAAGATGCTAGATAAGTTACAGAACGCAGAGAAGCTTACTTTTCGGGGAAACTTTCTTCAGGTATATATGTATGTTTTGGGCTCATTCATGTATTCTCTATTGCATGGTCAACATTTTCTAGTTGGATTAGTCCTCATCAGGATTTGACTTTCTAGTTAACTGATCATGATCAATATGCGTTGCGGTATTCACTATCTTTTTTGTGTGTTTCTTTTAGATTTTATCTCTTGCCGAGCTTCGTGGTGTTCATTTCCCGTTGCTCAATGTCAAAGCCTTGACTCTTGAGACAGTCATCTTTCAGTATGTTATTCCCGGTATAGAAAGACTGTTACAAAACTCACCTGATTTAGAGAAGCTAACAGTACTCGTAAATAATTGCAACTCCATTACGGTATATTTACAATTAGTATAACCTCTTTTATTTTCCTTGGCCTCCTTCCTAACTATCATCGAGTTCGAACATATTCAAGAACCGTTTTTTGTGTTTTCTTTACTTTCTCATGAGCAGCCGGAGCATCTTTTGACAACTACTTGAAATCATAAGGCTTGGATACTTATCAATGCTGGAGATCAAAAGATGGAGTCTTTTGGAGCAAGAACAGTTGGGATGTAGAGGGGAAGCACATGATTTCATTCGTGGAACTTGTGCTTAAAAACGCAAAGACATTAGCCAAGATGGTCGTACTACTGGACGAACATTACCTTAGGTTTAAGATTAAAGAGCTGGTTCCAAGACTTTCTCACTACAACAATGTCACCATTGAGCTCAAACAGACGTTCACCAACAGAGAAGAGGAGTGGTGAATCATAGGGTTTAAGTCTTGAGTATTCTTATTCAACATCTTTTAAAATATATAATTAGCGCAACTTTATGTATAGTATATTGAACAATATTTTACATGGAACTTCATTGACCTTGAAACAAACAACTTATGCATATGATTGCATATGATTTAACATTTAGACCCAAAAAGAAAAAAAAAACATATGCATATGATTTGTGCTTTCATCATCTTCACCGCATTATTAATTGGCATGTTGAATCAGTCGAAAGATGTCTCTCATGTACAAGTTTTCTACTTGATATGCAATCAAACGAATTGTGAGTCAATGCATATTTTACCTCTGAATCCATCAAGCCGCCTCTGAGTATTTACATTCTCAAATATGATTCTAGCGACAAAGACGTTTGGTAACTACAATGCGACTGTCTCACTGGTGTGGGTTTATTGCTGATTTGCTGCAATATGCCTTTACTTGTCGAACATGTAAACAAAAAACAACTAAATGTATATATTAAGTTTGTACTTGGGCCTAAATGTTAGGTTAAAGTAAAATGCATTGCACTCTAGATTCAGTTGACTTTGACTTAAGAATAGTCAAACCTTGAGAGTCACGCTTTATAAAAATAAAGTACGAGTATACTTAATCAGCTCTCTACCATATACTCTGTTTGAGTCCTACCAAATTCGCCATCAGAACTTCACTCTTGTCCAAACACCAAAGTATTAGGATGGYGGCATGTATGATGGTGCGATAACACCGTCTCTCTCTTTCGATAGCTATACAGTTAAGGCTGCTTCGATAAACAAAACCCTAACTCGATACACTTCACCCTAACTCGATACACTTCAATCTAGGCTAGAAGTAAATAAAAAGTTAAATATCAACCGGATTCAGACCGGGTTAAGCTAAAGGCCATAATAAAGAACAATTCAAGTGATCTTCACTTCTTCTGCTCCATTTGTTGCTTACCTGTCTCTGCAAGGAGACGAGCATTTTCCTTCTCAAAGAAATCGAATTCTTGGAGAATCTTAGCAAGCTTTGTCGCGTTGTCTTCTTTAACGTTTGCAGGGACCTTCTCTTCGTACCCAGACACGCTCATCATCTTCTGCAACTTCTCCTTTTGTCTGATGAAACAAGGAATACAATGTCAAACAAGGACTTGTGGAAACATTTTTGTTTTGACTCAGTTATGGATTCAGGGAAATTTACTTTTCTAGTTCGTCACTCTTGTTTCTGATCTTTTCTCGTTCAGCTTCTGTGCTAATGGCTCTGTCTGCTTTGAGATACACCTTGAGGTTCTCGTTCACTGTCTCAACTGATCCAGGTGGGGCTGCATGTTCTCCCTTTAACACAACCTATTAACAAATCCCCATAGAAACTCATCAAAATATTACAAGAAACAATAGAAAAACCGTAAGAAAGAACCTGAAGATGGACTTTACCTCTAAGGACGATAGATTTGCAAGAGTTCTGATCTCCAACTCGTGAGCTTTTACAGTATCAGACGCCGAGTCGTTTTTGCACAGAGCAAAAGCAGATAACCTGAGAGCAAATGGAACTTTTTTAATGACGGTATAATAAACAAAATGCGGGATGGTTATCAAATGTCTGAATGGGGATTTAATCATATACTCATACCTTTCATTTTTCTGTTTCTCCAGCAACTCTGCCCTGAGTGCCCTCAGGCATTTCACGGTCGCTAGAACGGTGTCCATTTCCGTCTCCGCTTTTTCATTTGTCCAATTCTGGGTTCACGACATTAGAAGAAAAGAGTTAGAAGCCTCAAAAACTATTAACTAAGAAAATCTTACTTACCTCTATGGCTGATGGGTAGTCACATAACATGATAGAGGCCTTTCTTTCATAGTCTTTAGGGGAGGGAAGCCGTTGCCATAGCTCTTCAGTAACAAAAGGCATAAGCGGGTGAAGCAGTCTCAAACCGGTCTCCAGAGATACCCAGAGAGTATGCTGTGCATGAGCCCTCTCCGAAGCAAAAGCCGGGTTGTCACCAGCAAAATAAGGCTTGATTGCTTCAATGTACACATCACAGAATTGATATTGCCACCATGCATATACTGTGTTGGCTGCATCCGAGAACTCAAATGCATTCAGTGACTCCACAGTCTTTGATATCGCCTTATTTAGTACAGAGAGAATCCACTGGCAGCTGAATGGCATGGTTTCAGGGCTTAGAGTCTGTGGAGGGGTATAATCATCGCCAAGCCTCATCATCGCAAATCTGACGGCGTTCCACAGCTTATTACACCATTGACGGTAGCCAACCACTCGAAGGATGTCCAAGTTTATTTTATCAGACTACAAAACAAGCAAGAATAGAGCAATTCTTAGTTTACATTACAAGATCATATTTTGAAGGAGCACATAAGAAGTTGTGATGGCCGTGTGCAATGGATATGGATTGTACCTGAGCAGTGTAAGCGACGAGTGCAAACCGAAGAGCGTCAGTACCACATTCAGGGATACCATTTGGATAGTCCTTCACTTGTCCTTCTTTAGCAACAACCAGCTCTCTTGGATCCAAGTTACCCTTTTCTAATCTCTCATGAAGACCCTCAAGAGTTTCCCCGTTTATTACTTCAAGTGGATCAATAACATTTCCAAGAGATTTTGACATCTTACGCCCATGTGCATCACGTACCATAGGATGCAAGTAAACCTATAGCAAAGACGACAGATACGTTTTGGCATATAAGTACAGGTCACAAGATAAGACTTGGCATTGCTAAAGAAGGATCCCTGTTAACTTAAAGTTTAGACGTACCTTGCTGAATGGAACTTCACCACCTAGCTTCATTGTCATCATAACCATACGAGCAACCCAAAAAAAGAGAATATCATGTCCTGTTTCCAGGACAGATGTCGGGTAGAAGGCTTTGAAGTCCTCAGTTTCATCGGGCCATCCCAGAACAGATAATGGAAAGAGCCCAGAAGAAAACCATGTATCCAGTACATCATGATCTTGTGCGAGTTCAAACTTCTTCCCAGAATATTTTTAAGCAGCCTCTTTTCGAGCTTCTTCCTCAGTTCTAGCAACAACCCAATGATCATTGTACGAACCAATCTCCTTGAGCTGATCTTCCTCTAGAGTGACATACCATGCTGGAATCCTATGGCCCCACCAAAGCTGTCTTGAAATACACCAGTCACGTATGTTCTCTAGCCATCTGCAAGGTCCATTGTGATCGTCAGGAGACAGGGTAATGATAGACCCATAATAGAGTAAATGATAAATAAAAGTGACCTTCTCCATTCTGCTGTGTACTGCTTTGGTATAAATTCGAGCTTCTTGTTTTCATCAGTGATAGCAACATCGAGAGCCTCCTTACCAATCTTGCTGCAATTGACGTACCATTGAGGCTTAATCATAGGTTCAATGACATCACTGCTTCTTTGACAAAGTCCAAGCCTCATTTCATTGTTTTTGGCACCTCTGTACAGATCCTGGAATATAATATTGACAAAGCAGTTAAGGTGAGATCTAAAAGACACTTACAAGCAACCACCAATGGTGTAACAATATCTTCTCAAACCAACAATCAGTAAAGCTGCCATGATATGTTACGTGAAGAGTAAAAAATTACCTGCTTCTTCAGAGCTTCAACAACTGCCTCACGTGCTGCAAAGCGTGGCATCCCTGTGAATTCAGACCCGCCGTTTGTGTTGATTTTTCCATCATCAGTGAAGATGTTTATAAATTCAAGATTGTGACGCTTTCCAACCTCACAGTCATTGTGGTCATGGGCAGGAGTAATCTACAAAAAGAAGAAGTTAACTTTCATGCAAGAAAATCAACTAACAGGGCAAAAACATAGCATCCAAATATATAATAGCGAGTATTTACCTTAACACAACCAGTACCAAAACTTCGATCAACAACCTTTCCATCACAGATAATTGGTAATTTCCGTCCATTAAATGGGTGCACAGCAAATTTCCCATGAAGATGCTCGTATCTTGCATCATCAGGATGAATAGCAATGGCAGTATCCCCAAGCATTGTTTCCACTCTTGTAGTGGCAACAACAACCTCGCCCAGGCCTCCCTCCAGAGGGTAAGCAAATGAAGTAAGAAGACCAAATTCTACTGGCTTCTCATAGCCAGGAACTTGTAGTAGCGTTCTTTCTTTGATATCGATATGCTCAACCTAGAGATATAGACACACTCTGCATAAATAACTCCGCATAAATAGGGAGCAGTCCAATAATAGTCACAGTTGCTGACTTACCTCATCGTCAGATATGGCTGTTCTCAAATTACAATCCCAGTTAACAAGCCGAATATCCCTGCACAAGTCATGGTATACTTCAGGCTTAAACATACCTATAGATTTCCAGTAGAACCGTACAAAACAATGGACTGAAAAAAGTAAAAGAGAAGCATATTTCTTTTTTCTTTGTTTATTCTTGTTTCCATGGATTATTTAAAATGGTAGCTTGCGTCAAAGAATAAATTCAGACTTCAACATACCTATAGATAAGCCCCTCCTTGTATAACCGTACAAAGGCCTCAGTGACAGCTTTTGATCTTTGCTCGTCCATTGTAAAGCACTACAAATTACAGGAAGAAACACATCTGTTAGACGGACAGCCCAGGAACACAAGTGATGATAAAAGGTTCATTAATATATAAGTTCATCTAATGGCGACATAAATTCAAGATTGACAATTTTCCATAATATTGTCCAAAAAAGAGTCGGATCACTGAATTTTACCTCACGAGACCAATCAAGAGAAGCTCCTAGTCGCCGTAGTTGTGTTAGAATTGTCCCACCAGATTGGTTCTTCCACTTCCACACCTATCCCATGATCGTAAGCAACCACAAGGGATTTTTAAAACAATGCAAAATGGAAAATGATGCGAGAGTGTATTTTTATTTTCAACTCACTTCATTTAAGAATTCTTCACGGCCAACATCATGCCTAGTCAATCCTCTTTCCTTGAGATTTTTCTCAACCCTAACCTATAATGTACACCCAAACAAAGAATATGATGAAATGTGTCAAATAAATTTTCCACAAGCATGCAGCCAAAACAGGATTCTGTCTAGAGGCTGGAATCTATACTAATATGGGAAAGAGATAGGAGAAGATCAATGATATGGTGACTGCGAACCTGTGTAGCTATACCGGCATGGTCAACCCCGGGCACCCACAGAGCATTATACCCAGACATTCTCTTCCAACGGATGATTGTATCCTGCATCAGCAAATTTTAATCCGCTGATCATTAGGAGGAACAATAGATAGAGAAATAGCACCAAAATAATGTGCTAAAGAAACCTCAATTGCAGATGTTAGCGCATGACCAATATGCAAGGCTCCAGTCACATTTGGAGGAGGAAGAAGCTGCAGAATCAAGAAAAGGATTAAAGAAAACTTTTGAACAAAAAAAACTTCAGACTTGTATTAATAATATCAAACCTCACTATTTTCTCAACTGTATTTCGTTGGAGAAGTTAAGTATCCGAGACGACAATAAAACAAGGTCTAATCAAGAACAAACATGAATTCAAGAATCGAATAAGGCCTTACCATAACAAAGGGTGGCTTGGAACTCTTAACATCCGCCTTAAAAAAGCCAGATTTTTCCCACCAAGCATACCATCTGATCCAATTAAAGAATAACACTGGAGATTATCTAGAGGAAGTTTTCTGAGAGAGTACTGCACTCAAATTTATGTTAAAGAAAAAGCTCTACACACTTACGATTTCTCTACAGCAGCAGGACTGTATTGTTTGGCCATCTGTGACGAAAGCCTTTTCCTCTCACCAAGAGGAGTTTCAGGGTCCACAAAATCCTCGGGATTCTCTTCTGAAGCATCACGTTTGGAACTCTTTTTTATACTCTTTTTAGAGGTGCTTGTTCCATCTTTGGCTTCTTTTGCCTATATGAAAAGCACACAATGGTAAATACTTCTAGTTCCATGAAAAAAATAAGAATGTGATATGTAGCAGGAACCTGAAATGCATAAATGCAGTTTCTCAGAGATTACCTTCAGTTCTGCCAGCTTTGCTTTCTCCAAAGCTTTAAGCTTCTTTAACTCCTTTTCTCTAGCCTATAATACAAAATCACTTTTAAAGTTGACACTGTGCAAGACTAAATACTAATTGAAGTCCAAAAGCATAAGTTGACATGAATGAGATTAACATAACCAAAAACCGAATTTGTTCATTGTAACTAAAATCTCACCACAACCAATTGCATCACTATCTAATCTCTCTATGCATTTCCCTTGATCAAACAACAAATTCGACCACATTCATCTATGAGATTCTAAAACTGTACAAGTCAAACCTTATCATCCTTCTTCTTCTTCCGCTCAAGCTCCTCCTCCGTAAGATTCTTCTTCTCTGATTCGGACTGCAAATTCAGAAATTCGATTCTCAGACTTAATAAATAAAAGGCAGGAGAACAATTTCGAAATCCGGTGGTAATCCCGGCACCGTACCATATTCCCGGTAGCGTGAAAGGAACGCAGAAGCAGATACGTAAGCGTCGGAGAGAAGAAGGTGGCCTGAGAAGGAGAAGAAGATACAAATAACGGCTTCGGTCTCCTGAGGAAGAGCAGTGACATAGACAGAAACAACACTTGCTTTTCTAGGGCTTATTATAATGCTTAATTTCTTCACAATATAATT